GCCTGTGCAGCTTCTTGCTGGTGCCTGCTTCCTCTCGAGTCTTCTCTCCCTCATCTGTGTTTTTCTGTACTATTTAGGCCAGAAGTCTTAACTTTCAAGGCGTAAGTTATTTTTACACAGTATTCTAAAACTTGTTAGAAAGACTGCAGAGATCATTGCTATTACATTTTAGATTGCTAACACTTAATGCAGCTTTTTTGTTTTGTTTTTTTTAATACGCTCGTGATTTGGTTAGGAGCCGTTGTCTTGCTCTGCATTTGTCCATCTCACGGGAGTTTTGGTCGGGGATTGAGACCATGGCATGCTGAGTAAAACTAGGAAGTCAAGAGAGCAGGTTTGATTTTGCAGTGAGGGGTGCTTTTTCTGAAATGATAACAGGAAGAGCTTCAGATGAAAGATAGGGCACCTGTTGCCTTATGGAGGGTACTCCCTTCCGCCGCCTTTGGCACCTCTACCCAACTGGAACTGGCGTAGTATCTTCCGAGTGGGCACTGTGTCAGGCTAGCAGATGGGCTAGAGCAGAATCTTGCCAGAAAACAGTTTGTGCATTAAGTCTTAAATATTAGAGGCCTGGACTCCCATCTGAGAGTGCTGTAAGAGCAGACCATGCATAGCTTTTCTGCCTGGGGTTAAAGGATGTGTCGTACGTGTTCCAGCTCAGAGTTAATTAACTTTGAAAGTCAAACAGTGGCTTCCGTGGCTGTGGAATGCAAAACTTTGGCTTTAGTGAATCAAAATTGGGGTTTCATAGCAAGATGAATAAGACATAAAATGAAATTTCTGACCAGAACCCCAAATGTTCTGTACTTGCAGGCATTTGCAGTTATCTTCAAAACAGTTTAGCAGTTGAGCACAATTTTTTTTCCCCAAAACAGTTTAGTTAGGTCCTATAGAAGATGGATTCACAAGCACAATACAGATCCATGTATATATAATTTGTATAATAAAACTCAAGTTCATAAAGATACGTAGAAGAATAATCTAGAAAAAGACTATTCAAAAATGCTGATCAGCTGTCCAGGAAATGATTATGCATCATTAAAGTAAAGTAACGATAGGAACAGAGAGGCAGGTCTTCCTTAGGCTACATTAAAAATAAGCACGCTTCAAGCACTGAATGTTTCAGTTTTCAGGAAGTACTGGAGATGGAGGAAGGGGGAGAAGAAAAGCAATGTGCTGCGCTTACCTTTAAATATTTGCCTTAGTACCCTCCACATGTTATGTTTAAAATTAAATGTGTTAGATAGCAGATGCTGCTTCTTATTGATTTGCGTACATTTTGTTTTTAGTAGTGGTATTCCTGCAACTTGGGTTGTTTGTTGTTGTTGGATGCTCTGAGTGACGTTTTCGCCCCTTTTGTTGGCCATTGAATTTAACAGCTTTTGGCTTTACTTAAATGGGGTCGGAATTTTTCCAGCTTTCTTGTAGGCAGCCTGTAGCTCTGGAGTGTGGTATTAACTTTTGAAGTTAGGTTGTATTTATTTCTGCAAAAACTAAGCTGACAGTATTACTCTCCAGGATCAGCTATCCAGTGAAACAAAGCAAAAATAAAATGTTAGCGACCCAAGAACTTCTGAAAGTAATTCTCTTCATGTTTCCAGAATGAATATATCCTCAAAATACCCAACAGTGGCAAAGACACCAGCTGTGGGTAGGAGAGGGGACGTTTTTTCAAACTGCCAAATCAGTGCTGTTTTCTTTTCCGCTGTGTAAACTTCGTCAACAAAACTGGTTCTGTGAGAGCCATTGAAAATATTTCACCATATTCCAAATGTGACTGCCACAAATTAACTGCTAAAACTACAACAAGCATGTTTGAACTGGCAAATAGAATTGGCACATTTCTTTGTCAGACTGCACGCAATTGTGCTCTGCGGGTGTAGGAAATCGTGGTTCATCCAGAAACACTCTTTTGTTACCATGTCATATTAACATTTAGAAAGCTACATTAATTAAGGTTGTGGCACTCAGCAACAAAACCATTGAAATTCATGGTTAAAGCAGATGTTTAGACCGTAACTGCTGTGCCTGTATGAAACTAGGGAATTCTGGATAGGGGTTAATTTGAGGTAAGTTATTTGCTGTATTGTGTAGGCAAGACAATTGGAAATGATGGCAAAGAGTGTGGATCCTAATGCACTGCTTTATCTCAGAGTGGATTTTAAATTCTTTGTCCCCTTTTCTCTGGTGGTAGCTCTGATTGTGGGATGGAGGAGAACAAGGGAAAATAGAGCTGTACCCTTTGCGCTTTGTAAGTGCTTGTGAGACTCCTGGCACGAGATGGAAGCAGCCACAGTCCTCTATGCAGATTCACTTTGTACCAGTGTTCCCAGTGAACAGTTATGCCGACACTGGTTTTGATTGTATGAGTACATTAAGACCCCTTCCCCCAAATCTAAGGAGGTCATGCGTCTCTACCATTGATAAAAAAGCAACACACTCAAGTTGTAAACTGGGAACTCTCATATTTGTTAAGCTATTTTAAGGTACCCTTTGCAAACATAATCTCACCATATAGCACTCCTGGTGCTCTATGTATGTACTTGCATGCCATCAGAGACCTCCTGCATGTCAGCATTGCGCTCCTGCAGGGTCTCTGCTTACTGTCCTGCAGTCTAGCGTTTAACTGATCGTAATATTATGAATAGCCATGTGCTACCACACAGAACGAGGCTAGCACATGGCTAATTACGAGTATACAGTAATTAACTATGAGCTAAACTCGCAGGAGAGTATGTGGTGGTGGTCTATGAGGTATGTAATCAGACTGTTTGTTAAACCTTGGGAGCCTTTCCAGTCTGTTAAGTAACTATACACAGTAATGAGTCAGTTTTTTAAAAAAAGTTATGTATATTTCTAGACAAAAAATAGTCTGTCTTATATCTAAGCCATAGTTAAAAGCTGCCTGATATATGAATGGTTAATTAAAACAACATAACAAAAGGTGTGTATGCAAAATCTGCTTATCTAGATGGATGCGATTAATTGTGTGAGCATGATCTGCACAGGAAGTTGAGAGTTGTGTTATCCGCTGTGTGTGTTAAGCCTTGTTTCATGTGCATGCAGTAAAAATGATGATGCCTCTTCTCCTCTTGTATGTTTGAACGTCACGTTACTCATTTGCTGGAGCATCTGTTCCTGTATCTTGTTGCGTTTTGTCTGACTTTTCTCCCTTTTCACCTTGTAACCGTTTTCAGTTAGTTTTGTTCTTATATTTTCTTGAGGAAATTTTTTCAGTATGACTCCAAAAGCATCTATGCCAGCCTAGTGTAATAACCATGGGGGTTAGGCCCCTTTGCTGGGCTACCTCCTGTTAATTGCTCTTCTTCATTACCCTGGCAGCTGTTACTATCTGTTTCAGATTACCATGAATGAGGCCTCTCTTTATAAAAAATGTCAAGACGTCTATAGGGAAGTTAGATCAGACTCTTTCAAATGCATGTACGTTTGATACTTCCCTATACTTATCAAGCTTCTAGTAAGTGATTTGATATTAAAATATATTTTCTTAAAAACAGGTTCCTTTCTGATCTGGGTCAGGGAGCACCTCTAGTTCTGTTCTGGCGATGTGACGTTGTTGAGTACAATGAAAACACATGGGATATGTTCCTCTGAAGTGTAGCGTCTTTAGCTATTAAGGCACACTCTACATGTGACAGGGCCAGATAAAGACCTGAGCACCTGTGCCTTAATCAGTGGAAGAATATAATAAGAACAAAATCTCTTTTGGCTTACCAAAATTTCCTTTCTGGTTGTAAGAATAATTTTGAATTGTGTTCTGAATGTGGCTGCTACTTCCCTAATTCTATAGATAGTTCACACCTTCCAGAGCTACTGTTTTAGGGTATGTCCATCTTATCCCTAGAATGCCATTAGCACAGAGGCATTTGCATCAGGAGGTGCCAAGCAGAAGGCTGTGGCTTCCCTGCCTGTGAGGTTTACATACTGCCAAATTCAACCCAGAGGATTCGCAACATTAAGGGAAGATGGCATCTGAAGGAGTCTGTTCATTGTAAAAATATTTTTATGATCTGACCGTCAAAAATGTAAGCTTGGATAGTTTGATTAGATCCAAGTTTATTTGATTTTTAATTGTGGGGATAAAAGTGGTCTGTTTTTGTGTGCGCCAGTAGCTGAAGTGTTTCACACCTGGACTGTTGTTGGTATTTGATCATTATAAGAAGTTTGAAAGGGAGCCTTATTTCCTAGGAACTGTATTCTTTTTAGATTTTCCAGTGATCATTCTAAAAGATGATTTAGTCTCATTAAATGTTAATCCCGGTGTGGCTCTATGCGCTTCAGTAGTATCAGAGAAAACTGATAGTTCTCTCAGGGTCAGAAGAAAATAGAATCACATTGTCTGTGCAGAGAGGTTCTGTCTCCTGGGCTGTAATTGGCACATGTGGTCAATTATTGTTTTGAAATTTCTACTTGCTCTAAGAGGCACAATCCCTCATCCCTCTCTTAGGCAGGTGGTGGCTGTGCTATTCCTAACTTAGGCCAATGTCTAAATAATGTCAGAATAGAAACTGAGGTTCTGGGGCCAAATTAATTTGTAACAGTGGAAAGCAGACAGTCCTGTCTACAAGCATAATGTGGGTCATAACTTTTAAGCGATGTCTTTGTCACGATAGTGGATTGACAAGAACCAAACACAGAGGTTATCCAATTGACTTGAATGACTAAAACATAGTCTGTTGTAATGTGATACTTCATTGTGGTGCAAAAGTGATGGAGACATACTGCTTACTCCCTAATCGACACTGAGGGAAAGAGTTCTGAAAATGTGGATTAAAATTGCTTTTACACTTTCTGATAAAACTTTTTTTTTAATTGGCAAAATCTTGACCTTTAAAAGCAGGAATTCAAACAGCATATTGGGAATTGGGGAATCTTTGTCCTGCCTTTTTTGACTGCCTTATGCAGCATTAGCTCTCTCTTTATTTGCAGTTATATTTTGTGGCATACAGCTTCATCCCTATCTCTTTCTCATTTTGCAGCTTCCCCTCAAACTCATGTTCCTGTAGAAGATGATGCTGTGCATGTAATTAAAGTGGTAATGTGTAGATCTCATTTCTAAATTGTTAACTTGTATGCAGTGTTTTCCCTTAATTATCTATTCTTATTCTAAGCATTGGGTTTGTGCTGAATGCTTGTGGCTTTTGTTTTTTCAGTCTTTTTGGTTTTTTTCGTGCATAGTGTTTCCTTGACTTCATTAGTGCCTTGAACAGTTTAGTAAGGAAAATGAGGCTCTGAATTTCAAACCATGCCTGATTTACAGTATTTCTGAAAACAGTTTCCAAAATAATTTCCCAAAGGATCGATGTTGTTTCTAAGAACGTGTTGCCAGCTGATTTTCC